TACCTTGTTCCAAAAGGGTATGTAAATTGTGTGAATTTTTTGTCATCGGGAAGAGAAATAAAGTTGGCTTTACCGCCGGCGGCAGATTCACTGGAAAGAGAAATAAAGTCGTTGCAGAGAGCCCAGATGGGTAATTTAGTAATTTCAGATGCCAAAGAGCGGGTATTTTAGTAATTTTGACAGGTCCGTTAGTGTATTTAACGGTCCGTCACACATAAGGGAGGTCTATATAGGATATTTTAAAAAGTAAGGGAGGTCCGCGTAATTTCCGGAACAGGAAGGGTGCCGCCTGTAATTATGGCAAACCATAAGAGAAGTCTGTGTAAATTACCCTTTTATTTATTATGCCTAGTTGTTTCTCCATATATATATATATATATATATATATATATATATACTAGAAGAATCAACGTGTGTTGCATGTGATGAAAAATATTTATAAATTTATTTTTTTATATTTTGAATTATTCTTTTTTGTTTCAAATCTTTATGATTTAAAATTTTCATCTATAATATATAATTTAATTAAAAAAATATCTATTTCTAAAGGGTTATCTTCAAATTGAAACATCTACTGTGTTGAAATCTTTTTTTTCCCCCCCTATATATATAAAGAGAGATATATTGGGTGAGCGAGTCTTTAATTTGGAATTAATCAATAAAAAAATAAAAAATAAAAATCCAATTGAAAAAGATGTGACTTTTGAATGAGTCACATTTTTTGGAATTAATAAAAGAATAAAAAGTTAAAGATATATATATATATATATATATATATATATTAAGAAAGAAATTATATTGAGAAAACATATCGCTTCTGCAAACACAATGATGTAAAGTTTCTGGAATAAATCAATACTAAATTGGGTTTTGATTTGTAATTTGTTACACACTAATAAAAGATTTGTCTCCAACGAAAAGGGTTTGAAACTAATTTAGGTTGTTGGAATGTCAGTTTACCTTTTTATACGATCAAATCAACATATACATTCAAGATCGAATAGACATATACTTTCAGGAGTCTTGCGGTTTGAAGAAGGAGAGAACGTTAAAAAAAATTATTAAAAAATATAATATATACAAAATAATTTAAATAGAGAACCGATGTATTTTAATCGGATATTATATAAAGAAAAGGTGTTTAATATGAAAAAGAAGATATGTTCTTTTAGGTATTTGAATTTAAAAAAACTCCTGGTGAGCAAAATATATAAATTATTTATTTTATAATAGGATAGGTGTTGATTTTTTTACTCCAAGGTGTTAGTAGTTAAGAAGGTAACTTTTGAAGTGTTCTGTATTGGCAGGGAATATTAAAAATATTGAAATGCTAAAAGGTGTTACGTTTAGGAATTCAAAAGGTGTATAATGTAAAATAGAAAATATGTATATATATATATATATAGACGATACAAAAATATTTATTATTTTAGAATAGAGGAGGTGTCTGTTACAAGAGTTTAATTATTTGAAAAGTCACGTTTCTTGAGAAAACAAAAATTTAAAGTCATGTTTTCTTTTAAAATTAAAAAAAAAACTAATTTTAGTGTATATAAATAATATGAAATAAAAGGGATATAAATATAGATATATTTAATACACATATTACAGATAAATATATATTAAAGTGATTAAATTAAATACCATTTTTATTCTAAATGCAACCCTAAAGTGTTTCTTAATTTCGCACTATTCTTGTCCTAAATCTTTATGGAACATACTTAAAAAAATCTCTTCCAATTAGAAAGACATTACATATTGGAATCATAAATACTTTGAAGGGAATTAAGCAATGCAGAGAACCTACAAAAGAACAATACTTCCTAAGAGTTAAACGAAAAAAATACAGAATTAGACATAAAATCAACACAGGAACAATAAACACATTATATATGAAAAGAAGATATATAGAGGCCTTAGGTTGTTGGGATCACAATGTAGTTAGGCAAAAATAATTTGTTATAACATAATATAAATAGTACAAATAAAGTATTATAAAATAATAATAGTTCAGTAAAATATCAATAAAAACATATTAAAATAAGAGAGTAAGAAACTTACTTCTGGCCTTCTGGAGAGTCACGACTATGAAAGACTCCAAAATAGTCAGGTCGAAGAACATTGATCAAATCTTACATTGCCATGTTGTTCATAAATTCAGGATATATATATATATATATATATATATATATATATATATATATATATATTGGATTGACGAAGGAACAAAGTTTAGAAAAGAAACAAAGTGGAAGATTTAAAACGTTTATTATTTTTATTGGACTACCATTCTATTTATAGGCTACTACACACCTATTCATGAAAGGATAGGTCTGTTCATGAAAGGATATGTCTATTCAACTATAAGAAGTTTTTACCGTTAACGTTTTTCATAACCGTTCATATTTTCTTTCACACCATTCATCAATAGATTTTTTAAAACTTTATTTTGTTGAAAACCAGTTTGATTCATGCTAATAAAATTTGTGTAAGGGTTCAAAATGACCGTGAATAAAACCTCTACTAAATTTTTGCAGAGAAATTTTTGCATGGAAAGATAGAAAGAGAGAGAGACTAAGTGTGTAAATTAGAGAATTGAAATATCCCACGTACTTTTTTAAAAAAATAAATAAATAAATAAATAAATAAATAGAGAGGTGATATATTTTAACTGACAAAACTCTCCATGAAAGAAAATGTGTTTGATATGAATAAGTGTGTGAATTTAAAAGAAACTCTTTTCTAAAAGAAGACAACTTGGTAATCAAAAAATAAAAAAAAAATTATTTTTCATATTAAATATCTATCTATCTATCTAAAGTGTAAAAGTGTATTGGCATGAAAATATCAAAAAATATTGAAATCTAAAAGGTACAACCTTTAAGAATAAAAAGGTGTATAATAGCAAAAATTGGAAACTGAAAAATTAAGTAATGAATTTTTTAAATAAATTAATTGTTTTAAAATGTATATAAATATTAGAAAATGAATCCACTTTTATTAGTAGTATATATATATATATATATTTCACATAAAACAAATATAGCGTGTATAGCATGGTTATTAAATTCAGACTTAGAAAATATTCCAACAACTATTATACATTGGGATACATAATTTGATTAATTTTTGGAAATAAATTAAGAGTTGAATTAATTTTTATCAATATCTCAATAGAAATATGAAAAGATCGAGATTAATTTGAATCATCATATTATTTATATGACATAACAATTTCACATGAATGGAAATCAATATAATATGAAATCAATATAATATTTATTTTTTACTATCTATACAGCTTTGAACTGAATAGAGTGTGATTTTTGCAAAAAAAAAAATTGTATAGAAGTGGTTCATATTTATAAAAAATATGAAAGGGGACTGATAAATTATGCATGAACCATAAAATTATTATACATGAACCATAAAATATGTTACTTTTGCATGACAATTTTTATCCTAGAGTAGTTATTTAATGTATCTTTGAGGTAGCTTAAAAAAAGATATATTTTGAATAATTCAATAAAATATGAGTATGTTATCATAAATGAACTATATTCTACATATAAATATAAGTAATTATTATAGAAAACACAAAATAAAAAAACCTGGCAACTAAAATGCAGTCCTCCTTAGTTTTTCTAATTTAAATATGAATATAAATAATAATAATAATTATTATTATTAATCCATTATTTTATGATAAAACATGAGTATATTATGATAAATGAATTATATTCTACATATAAATATAAATAATTATTATTGAAAACGGAAAATAAAAAGAATCTGACAACTAAAATGCAGTCCTTCTTAGTTTGTCTAATTTAAATATGAATATAAATAATAATAATAATTATTATTATTAATCCATTATTTTACTATTTAATTGCTAAAAATTAATTTATTTTTTTATATTTGAAATCATGAGGGTAGTTTTGATAAGTAAATCATTTTCTTTTCCCTTTCACGCTATCCAAACTAATAAAATAATATTTTCCTATAACTTTCTTGAAAAACTTTTTTGCTAACCAAATGCATGCTTGATTTTCCTTTCTTTCACTTCACTTTCTTTCACTTTCACTTTCACTTTCTATCATAAATTTCCGTGTAACCAAACGAACCAAAAAAAGAAAAGTAGTTAACCAAAATGCAAGAAATGGCTGAAAACTCCAACTCTAAAAGTCACATCAATCGTAACTACCGTAAGGAACTCTTAACAACCAAGAGGGAGAAAGTTTCTAATATCAAAATAGTATTGTTTTGCTTTCTATCCCTATAACACTGAATATTATTCTGAGCCTCTGTTGTGTGGCACATTTTGGACTGTTGGTGGTTGGGATTTCTTGCTTGGATTGTTGATGTACATATTTGATCATATGGTTAATCGTGGCTGCCAATTTATGTATAAAAAAAAAAAAAAAGAGTAGAAGTTAATCATGGTTAGTCATTTACAAGTATAATTTGAAAACAAGCAAAGAAACCAAAACTAGTTGAAATTTCTATGGGATTTTTTTAAAAAAAAGTTGTTAGCACAATGGATGTCAGATATTTTGGGATGTAGGGATAAATTCAACAGTGTAATCACATACAAATAGGAGGCAATCCATTTCTTATTAGGATGAAGAGGTGGTTCTAATCTCACATGTTTGGCCAAATACAAAAGCTGCAGAAAACATATGTAACTCCTTAATTATATTACAAGCAAGTAATTGTACTAACCTCAATTTCATGTACTTTTGTGCTTAATTAATGACAAATTATTTTTTCCCCCTTTTTTTTTACATGTGTAAAAAAAAGGGGAAAAAAACATATGATGAGGCAGAGTGAATAAAACATACGTAAAAAAGGGTGGTTATTAATGACTAGAGGAGGCTATAACGAAAACTTGATAAGATAAATTCAACGCAAAGGAAAAAACCAAAACAAAAATCAAAACCTGTAACCAACAAAGAAAGAATGGAAAAGAAGTATGAGCCTGCAAACTTAAATAGCAATTAATAATAATGAGGAGGAAGAGGAGTGGCCTTAGACAGAAAGTGTTCCACAACGTCGCTGCAATTCTTGAAGAAGTCATCCTCTGGAAGCTCAAATGCAGTGGGCCTCTGTGCCGGTTCTGTAGCCAGACACTTTGCCACCATCTTCCTAAAACATTCTAAGAATTCCAGACTCAGATCAGCAGCAGCACAACAGGGCTTAACCAAAGGTTTGAAGAAAGAAGGGAGTCCTCCCTCTTTCTTTGGGGGTAGTTTTTTCTTGTTTGTAATTTTGTTGATCATCTTCTCCAAACCTCGTCGACTAGACACTGGAATTCCACCGTAAGCCAACTCTAATGCGGTGATTCCAATAAGCCATATGTCAGCCTTTTTAGTGTATTCACCATCGGAGTAGAAAACCTCGGGCGCAGCGGCCAAGCTTGTAGAGACTGAAGCAGCAATGCTGCTGTGGCGAAGACGATGACTGCCATAGTCATGTTCGTATACAGTGGCCGCGAATGCGAGTTTGATACCGTGATAGTCGCTTAAGAAGATGTGTCCAGCATTGATATCTCGATGTAATTGGCCATTTAGATGGAGATGAGAGAGACCCATTAACGTTTGCTTGAGGGCCACAGCTATACAGCCCTCGGACAGACCATTGTTGTACTTATATGTCATGATGGATCGAAGAGAGCACAACTCCATGAATGGCATGACCACATAGAACTCACCCTTATAAATATCATCAACGAATGCGCTTTTGATTCCAGTAAGGTTGGGATGATGAGGGACAAGGACAATCCTTTGAACATCTCGGGTCAGTTTCTCGTACTCTGCTGCTGCAGTTTGTTGATCCACATTCATCTTCTTCATTGCTACAAACATATCCTTAAGCCCATCGTCCAACGGGTCCAACGGGGTGGGGAGAAGTCCACCGGGGTGGGAGAGCGATAGTAGGCTACATAGACGACGGTGGTAGCATCTGTAGCTCCGATTTCGAACATTGTTGCATATCGGTATCCGGATTCGGCACAGTGGATACTATAAAGTCGATCCAAGCCTTCTCTAGGAAGGCGAGGATATATCTTATCGATGGGGTACAAGAACTCACACAGTAAGCCACGGATCATTGATCCTCCATTTAGGTAATACTTCATCGTTGATCTCAGTTACAATTCTAGGGGTTCCTCAATTCCTTTTCTTTGGAGAAAGAATGAATGCGAATCAAAGCACCAGTTTGAGTTTTAACCTATTCGCGTTATAATTTTACGCCAATTGGCAATGGGTTAAGATTCCACATTTAAAATAGTAAAATAATATTATTGATGAGACTTTTTTTCCTTTCTTATTTTTTCAGTTTTTTATTTGTGGTTGTATTATCTTCTTCTTTTTTCTTTTTCTTCTTTTCCTTTATTTTCACATCAAATTTCATGGTATTCAAATATAAGAATTTGATTTATACAAAATCTAAAACAAAATTACAATGTTTTTTCAATACTTTACAAATATTTTAAAAATTCCTCTCCTTATTTTTATTTCTAGGAATAAGATAAATCATTAGTTTTGATCATTATAATAATTAACAAATACCTATCAAAATAATTGATATACATTAATGATCAAAGATACAATGGTTTATATATAAGCACATATACACAATCTAATTATATATAGGAACAATCTAATTATATATAGGAGATGTCTTAAATATCTCAAGAGTTCTCTGTCATTTGATATATATGGTGATTGACCCTTTGGCCTAACAAAGATGCTACATTAAGATGAGACTTAAAAAATAAATTATAATTTTTTAAATAGTTAATTATCTTATATTTTAATATGAATTCCATTATATTTTATACATAAATAATTTTTATTTGTCGAACTGAATAACATGAATCTAAAATATAAATTTATAACATAAAAGTGCTTTTATAAAAACATGTGTGTATATTTCTTTCTATTCTTTTTTATAGATTCTTTTCTTTCTTTTTTTTACTTTGTCTTTTAGCTATGAGTGGGTATATAATTACTACATGAGAAATGGCGAGTATGAATCAGTTTTGTCATTTCATTCATCATAAAATAGTTCTTGTAATACATGAAGTGACACGGGAATGAAAGGAAATAACTACAAAAGATAGCAGAACACTACTCTGCTGCATCATCTCCTATGCCAGATCCATTGCCTGCCCCATCATCACCGGCCGGCTCACTGTCTCTCTCACCATCGTTGGCTACTTCATTGTCTCTGGTGGGAGAATCAAGGTGGATGATCTCCTCATTGGGGAGAGTTCTGTCAGATGCAACAGATGTTGAAGGAACAATGGTTGTGATGGGAGGAACATTCAGAGGCCGAATTGGAGGGATAACCCCTGAAGCTGCAATCTCATTGCACTCAATGAATATATTTTCAGCAGGAGCAGGGGATGGATCCATATAAACGTTCGGCGGGACAATGTCTTGGGAGGCATCCAGTTCGTCCAGACTTGCATAGGAATTGGATTTGCCCTCGGGAGGAAAATGGTCAGTAAAGCCGTCTCTATACCCCTCGACGTACCTGAGAGCCCCGATTCTAAAAAAGCAGGCATAAAGAGCCCTCATGCCATCATCAACTCTGCCTATGACGTTCAGCAGAGCAATGCTCTCATTCGAGAATCTCTCTACAGAGACAAAATGGGTCAGCTTCTCAACCTTCAAAGCATCCCTTTCTGCATGTGCAACATTCTTCTCTATCTTCAGAACGTCTACCTCATTTTGGAGAGAATCCCATTCAACCTTTAGAGCGTCCCGCTCGGCTTTCAGAGTGTTCATCTCTTTCTCTGAATCCCTCAGTTTAACCAACAGCTCTGTATTTTTGGCTTCGGTTATCCTCTCTGATTCAACAGATCTTTTGAGACCGGCGGAGAAGGACTTGATTTTCTTGTTGGCGTGTTCAATGTTCTTCTGGAATGTGAACATCCCAAATAGAGTCTGCACAAAGATACAGTGTTTCAGAAAGTACAAGTGTTAAATAATCAGAACGGGAAAAACTACCTCAACAGTAGCTGCAGGGAAATGCTGATACATCTCATTGAAGGTCAACTTGTTTTGAACCTCCAAATCCTTTGGGGTCCAGAGGCCCTTGTAGAAAACAAATGAGGTGACTGAGTCTTTAAACAAAGAGTCTGTGGGACCAACGATTGACCCGTCCTCAAGTCTGAGCAAAGGACGCCATGGAGCCATTGTTGGTGAAGAGGCAGAGGTTCTGGCTGCTTCACCCTCTGGAATGGCCACCTGAAGGGAAGGAAGGGTCGTAGTGACCCTAAAAGACTGAGCCCTTTGGGCCAAAGGAATATCGTTCTGATCATGGCCGCCCTCAGACTAAGGTCTTTTGCCTAGGCTCTTCTCTGAAACGCGAGTTTGGACAGGGGAAGATCCCCCTGCGTTCTGAGGAAATCCCTCAGAATTTTGAGCAGCTGGTGGAGAAGTTTCATTATGGGCTTCAGAAGGTCTATCGTTCAGCAATGTGGGCTGAACTTCAGCTGAAACGGATGCAGAGGGTTCAGTGGTAGGACGGTCAGCATTCTGAGCCATAACTGGAACGGCTGGAATGGCCACAGAGGTAGTAGGTGTAGCTGCGGGAGTGGCTGCAAAACGTTTCCTTCTGCTGAAAGAATGAATTTGGATATTCTCCATGCTGGTTCCAAGGACAGATATGTCAAAGATTGTCAAGGGTGAGCAAGTCAGTGGCAGAGAGGATATCGTTCAGAACTCTCTCCTTCAGAACGTCAAGCCTGACCCTGCAAACGTTGTAAACCAACTCGTCATGATGAATGTGAAAGCAGTCACAAAGAAAAGTACAGAAACGAGGAAGGCAAGTTTCACAGTGGCAATCGGTCGGGTGTTTCCTAAATTTCTTGTACTGAGGGACAAAGCACTCTCCAAAAGTAATCGGGATGGGGAAAGTCCGAGCGAATGGAGTTCGCCAATTTCCACTGACCCCAATTAGATTTTTCCTCCAACCCTTTTCAAAAGAGAGCTTGTCCGTACAAATAGATCGCTTCTTGATGGGAAAGAAGTGAAAATACATTTCATGGGTTCTGATTTTGGTAACTCGGTAGCAAAGGAGAAGGTCTATGATATCTAAGTCAAGATCCCTATCACGATTTAAAATTAAAAGGACTGATATAACCCTAAGGAAGTTGGGTTAACCTGAAGAGGGGAAAGCCCTAATTTACTGAAGACATAACAAAAGAACAGGTGCAAAGGAAATCTAATTACATTTAAGTGAAGAGCAGAGAAGAGGACCTCTCCTGGAAGGAGACCCTCACCGGATTTCTAATCTAAATTCGTGGGATAAAGCCTAAGGGAGACATCGTTAGGAATGTTGTTCCTCGAACGAAAGGCCTCTAAGTCAGGAGCCATAATAATCGGAAAAGATTTTAAACTTTCTTTCTGTCGAGAAAAACAGTAAGGAATAAAGTTTTTGAAAATACAGCAAGGAGTAGGGACTAACCTTGGAAAGGGGATTTGCAGAGTGCACCGTATCAAGACAAAAGTTGAAGAGTCACAAAGGGGGAAACTCACCGGAGGAGATAAGGAAAGCTCGTCGGAGGGAACTAGTACTTGACAGAGACAGCTAGAACAGATGAAGCTTGGGCATGAAAGTAAGAAAGATAGAAGGAGGACGAAATGTGTGAGCTTGGGCATGAAAGTAAGAAAGATAGAAGGAGGACGAAATGTGTGAGGCCTGGGTTTTTAAAGTGAAAGTGATTCAACACCCGAGGAATTACGGCAATAATGGTGCAGCAGATCTCAAAGCATGGGTCTCTGAGCCAACCGTTCGCTTCCCCACGTCACCGCTTCGAGCCGTCATGTCATAATTGTGTCCTTTCGATAATCTCACCCTAATTAATTAGAAAGAGATTATGGGGGCAGATGAGGATACCAAAAATGTCCTGGGCCAGGCACAATCCAAATTGCTCGAAACGGGGTTGGGCAAGAGCGACCGCTCCAAACCAAGTCCTCACTAGTCAAGCCCAGGACTGGAAGATCATGTTGGAGGCCCGTTCTAAAGAATTGGGCCCATGATCAAAAAGAGCCCAGGAGGACAGCCCAACGCAAGGAGTTAGTTTAGAAGCTTCTAGAAGATTTGTAACAGTCTATAGATAGACTGAAAAAATAGAGAAAAGGGGTTGAAAAATTTTTGAAGTGTAAAATTGTTCTTTCTAAATTGAGAGAGAATTTATCTTGCATCTTCAATAACCTTTCACCTCCTCAATAGACGGTGAATATTGTTACAATTGAATTGTTCACACTAATTTTCCAGAACTATCATAATAATATTTCAAAATTTCATTCAAAGTATATTGATACTTTTACCTAATAGTATACTTAAAGATTGTAGAAAATTCTATACAAATCATAACTTGTCAATAAGAATTATCTACAATCTTGAGTCTACTACTACTGACCATAGAAGAAATTTAAAAAAGGAAGCTCTTACTTGCATACATGTTGTCACTTTAAAAAATAATCAATTGTATGAAAATTTTGAATCAAGTCACTATCCCAACAAATCCGCTTAAGCCTGGCAGCTTCTTCAATTCTTCATTGAGTCTAAACTTCAATTCATTTACGGAAGCATCATCTTCAATGACCCGACTAAGGTGTTGAGCAAATCATATTTGTCAATTCTTTCATCACTGCACAAATCATTTCCAGACCACTCAGTTGTCTTCTTACTTCCCCTGTTTCTTTTCCTTTCATTTCAATACTTGTCTCTTTAGTATTTTCAACTTCAAAATTGGAATTCAAGAGATGATTCCAAAAATATAACACCATTAAGTAACAAACCAGTTGGAATCTCAAAATTGTATAATTGTTTTATTTAATAAAACTTCATTCAAAAAAAGAAAAAGAAGGGTGGAGTCCATGATTTAGTCGGTGAGCATATATATCACTTACCTGTCATAGATTTATGAGATCATCAACTCAATTTAAAGAAAGAACAATACAAGTTTGCAGTTAAAATCGTCTCATCACATATAATAAATATACCAAGTCCATTTATGTTTCGAGATGAATTTTTCCTTCTTATTCTCACATACCAATTCCAAAAACTTACGAGAACAATTAAACATGCCCTAAACATAAAAGAACTAATGAATACTCAATGACCACCCATCAGAAACTAAAGGGAGTCTGCAAAATATGCAGTGAAGGCTAGGTAAGCCATAAAATTAAAACAAATACAATACATTAATGGTTAACAAAAATGGATTAAAAAGAATATTAAGCTGATTAATTTGGGAGGATAATCTAGCTGAAAACAAAAGCAAGCAAGCAAATCTTATAAAAAGACCCAGAAAGCCTACATCACCATAGAACACAGGGTCTAGCAGGGTCGGCCACCAAACTGCAATGTGGCAATTATGCAACTAATTAATTTGGTTACTGTTTAGCACTGTTAAGTTGTTATAGCTTCTAATGAAGCACCTTTTGCTGTAGAACTATATAAAAATAAATAAAAAGGTGCTGGCTGTTGAAAAAGCATATTGTTCTGGGAATGTGCTATCCAAAACAGTTTCTTGTTGCAGGTACATTCTATTGTTTCGAAAACGGTATGTGCCATGCTTATACACTTCTACCAATGACTTTTCAGTAATGCTGCTCTTGTGACGTGCTTTTGTGCCTATCTGGTAACATATGTATTTTTGTCAATAACTCTCTCCACGAATGATGAGTTTTACTCTTAAAAAACAAAAATAAAATAAAAATTGAGCTTCGACCTAAAAAACCAACTCCATTCATCAAAAATCATTTTCTTTCACATTAATTAAACAATCGTAATCAAAATGTATGTACATGGAAATATGGAATAGCATAAAAGGCTAGGTATATATGCACAAAATTACACTTGTATTGTTGACAAAATAATTAACAAATTAATCAGTTGAATTTTACATGTCAACTCCTACTACTGATGATAATTAAGAAGCATGTAAGTTTGTAAGTGAACATATGTATTTACACATATATAAGAAAACGAAAGCTAGAGAGAAGGGGGGAGTATAAAACCTCTGAAGCAGATATATGGAGAGCGAAAGTTCGAGGCTAAGATACACCCATCTCCCTCCTGCAAAATATACAAGAAGCCATGTCCAGAACCCCTATAAATAGTCTCCATTTTAGCATAAGATTCACTAATAAGCCACAGGCTGTTTGAAAAAATCTTGTTGGCAACCTGACAGGAATGATCCCATACAGCTGTAATCACACATTCATGCAGTGGGGGAAAATGCCATCATCATATGACTGTACATGTGAACAAGTAGACCTTTAAGGAGAGGGAGAGTGGGGGAAGACGCCATCGATGACTGGGTGCTGGTTGTTTTGATGGCCGACTGCCATCTAAAGAGGCAAGTGGATACAGATTTGGTTTGAGATTATTGTTTTCTTTGAGAACATTAGGTGGCACTATTTTGAATTTTGAATTTGAGTCAAAAACAAGGAAATAAAGTAATATTGTATATGATACATTGTATAACGTATAAAGTATTTTTGAATATGGGTATTCGTATTTATAGTAAAAGAGAACTTAGCTTGATTAATATTTTTAACTAGCTTGATGATATGGCAAATAAAGAGTCAACCACAGCACCAATGGCTCAATGGATGGCGTCCAGTGAGAGAGTAACTGGAAAAGATTTCTCTCTGGCTCCGGCTCCATCCTTGTTTGTAGAGATTCTCAGCCTTTATTTTAGGAAGTTGAGGACCACTAGAACCTTGGTGGATTTTTTTGCAATTAATCCATATTGTAAATGACAAGTATTTGTTAAAAGTCTATATTGAGCTCACGTCCTCAAACAGTACATTGAGAAAAACTCATTCACATTCACAGTATTAATCGAGCAACCTAGGTACAATTTCAAGTGAGAGCATCAATCCAACCCCAGTAAATCACGTGGCACATAGAAGAAAATCAGTACTAAAACAATATAAATAAATAAATAAAACACAAACATAATTGCACAAAAATGGAATTGTGTCCTTTTTGCTAAATGTCAAAATCATGGTTTTTGCTAAATGTCAAAAGCATGGTTTGGCACAAAAATACTTGATGAACCCAGATATATGTTAAGATTAGTAGTGTGAACAGACCATAGGCAAAGGAGAGAGAGAAACAAGAAGTAGAATGAACAATAAAAGCTTCCCAAAGAATTATTTGGGCTGAAGAGCTTAAAATTTTAAGAGAAGTCAAAGATGGATCCCAGTCAATCCAAATTCTGCCATTTTCAGCATTTGAATAGTTATGATAAAAAGACCCCAACCAGTCAACAGAGAAGTAGTAATTCTATCTTCATTAGCAGATTTAAATATGGTTTTCATAGTGCAGACAAGGTTTGACAGATTAACCAAATTCCTAATCTCAGCTTGTTTTAGAGGCTTATTCATACCTCTAATATTCCAGCTCGCAAAATTCATGGAGAGGGAGGATGAGTTTATTTTCAGGTGTTCCACCTGAGCCCTTCTGTTTTTTAGACTTTTCTAAGACTTAGAAAGCTTTGCAGAAATTTAATAGTAGAGAGGATAGCCTCTTGGTTTTCAACAGGCGTTCCTGCATCGAGATGATTTTCATCCTTAGAAACTACTGCCTCGAGATTTTTTTTCATCCGTAGGAGCTAAAGCTTCAAATTGATTAGATTGAGAGAGGATGTTTTCTTGGCTAGAGAACCATATTAGACTGCACATCTGATTGACTGTTAGAGCCACAATCATTAATAGGATGATTATGATCTAAAGTTTTCTTGGCTTCAATAGCCTTCTTTACTATAGAATCCATGATTAGTTTAAAGCATCTACTGGTAACTGCTTGGAAGGTTCTCCAATCTCAGCTTCAGTGTGAATAGCAGGAACATCAACTGAAATGTAAGGTTCAACCATCACTTCCTTTCCTCTTCTAGATACCGTAACCCACTCATTAATAGAGCTTTTAGCCTTAGATGGAGCATCAATCTTTTTTGGAACCCAAACCTTAGAAACACTAATAGGGCACTGAGGAGAAGTGTGGTCAAATTTCTTACACTAGGCACAAAGCTTAGGCATTTAAACATACTCAACTTGAATTTCGATAGGCTCTTCATCATCTTCCATGCAGGAAATGTGCAACTACAGTCCACCTCAATGCAAATCTTTGCAAAACTCAGCTGCTGCATACATAGACTCGGTGAAAGCATCATCATAATTCAGGGGAAATAAAAAATAAAAAAAGCATCAACATACAAAGGCTTTATGGTGCATGCAATGTAACTTAAACCTTTAGGTGTATATATTATAGATTTTAACCCAGATAGGAACTTCCAGACTAGCACCCTTAGTTGTATTTTGAGATGCCATCTCTGAAAAATTAGGTGACAACCAACAAAAAACCAAGGACCACCCATCAAACATGAATCAAAGAAACCTGAAAGTGGAAGAAGTAGAACCCATGATCATTTGAAAGAAAATTTTGAATACCTTCATTGTTCCACAACTTCTTAGCAATGTCTGACACCAAGGAATGTTGTAATTTGCAACCGAAGAAATACCCCACCAAGACCACTTTGAAAGAGCCAGAGGAACCAAGACCACTTTGACCTTTTACAGAGATCTGATCACCATCTTTACATGGTTGGAAAATTTAAAAGGATTTTAAGAGACTAAAGAGCTCTAAGAACTGGTGTTACCTTGAAGATGCAAGAAATTCATTCCCTCTTTCTCTCTCTCTAGAATTCTTACACTTCAACCAAAAGATCCCCCTATCTTTTCCATTCCTTCTCTTATTTATAGATATTTACAAGATATTTACAAATATTGACTGATTGCTGGATCTGGGCCTGTTCCTCCATAAGTCCTGGTCACCTTTGATGGGCTTACTCCCGTTCGGCCCATATGGCAGTGTCTTTATATGGGCCGACCCAGCTGTACGGATCGGATGTAGTGCTTGCAAGTCAGATCCGGCCCATGTCGTCCTGGGCCTCCTCAACTGCCCCCATAATTGCCCCTTATTTAATAAGGGGTAATTATTGATGGCGTCTCATCATGACGTTGACGGCTCGAGAAAACCACGTGGGGGAACAGACGGTCAGATCCAGAATCAATGTTTCGGGGCTCGAGGAATTTCTCGCCTTCCCGACGCTTCGGCCCTCGGGCCCCCCTCGCCTTTATAAGGCTCTAGAATACCACTTCACGTCCTTTTACCGTCTCCATCATCAGTCAAATCTCTCTCTTTCTAGAACAGTGCTAAGCTTTTTCTGGTGAAATCCTTCAAGAGTCATTCTTCCAGCGATCTTGCAGTCCTCTGAGGTTAGTTTTGTTTCTTTTTACTTTCGGCAGGCTTCTATTTACCCCCTTTTAGATCCTTCAAGCACTTCCACCATGGTTGTAGATCTGGATGTTCTTCGTATGAGACTTAGACTTCCTGACAACATCGAAGTTAGGGTTTGCCCTCAGGACGTTAACATTATGACCGGTGCCGGCCTCCTGCCCGGCGAAGTCTTATTCACGAACCTTCAATTGAATGTTGTTAGGTTCCCTCTGCACCCTTTCTTTAGTTATGTCTTCAATAGATTGGGGATATCCCCCCTGCAGGTCAACTCCAACTTCTTTAGAATCATATCCGTTATGCTCCTGTTGATGCGTGACAGAAATCTGGACCTTGACCTCATAGACCTTCTTCTGTGCTATAAGGTCAGTAAGATCCGTACTAACGAACCCTTCTACCACCTCTACCCGTTCGAGAAGATGTCCATATGTACGGACACAATAAAATCTGAAAAGGGTTGGAGGGATAGCATCGTGGGCATTAGTGGGGCTTGGTCTTCGCCGGCTGCAGAGGGTTACCCAATCCCGAGCGCCTTTGGTGTCTGTTCTGTCTCCTCCTATAAGAAATTCAAATCTCATAAACATGATTGCCCCTGCGAAACATGCGTTCCCCGTTTTTGTACTTTCTTATGCCGTTCCTTAGGAATACCTTGTGATGACTTGAGCTACAGTGTTTGCAGGGATAGGAGTAATTACTTGAAGAAATACGTTCTGAACGATATTCCTTCCTGCTCAGATCTCCTCACTTCAGACAACCTCTTAGCGCTCTCATCACTCGGCTACAACATGAGCAGGCTTCAGATTCCTTCTTTTGGCAGGAAGAAAAATACTCCCCCAGCCACTCCTGCTGCTGGGGCGACCTCCTCTCCAGCGTCAGCCTCTTCCTCAGCCACCATCTCTGACACTGTCCCGAGCACAGTGGCTATTAACTCTGTTGTCAGCACCCCTGCTGCCAACCAGAGCGCGTCTCCCCAAACTACCACAGCTCCTGCTGCTGCTGGGGGCGTTCGGGACAAAGAACGAGGCAAAAGGCCTCATCCTGACAGTGAAGTCGATCCTGAGGAGGAGCCTTTCATAAGAAGGACCCGGGTCTCCGGGCCGGGTGCTCTCTTGCACCGTGCGATCAGAGCTCCTGCTCCCTCTGGGCCTACTGCAGCTGGTGGCTCCGCTTTTGCTTCAGGCCCCCCTTCTATCCCCACCTTACCGCCATGGGCCCCTCGGTACACCCGAACGGATGGGACGTTCGTGAAACCGAACGAGACCATGCTGGAGGATGGCCAGACCGCCATGGCGTACTATAGGAGCATGTGGACTCCGAAAGACCTTGAGGCGGCAAAGGGCCTATCCCAGAAGGATGTGTTCAGCCGCTTTCCCCAATCTGCTATGGAGGTGACTTTTATTTTCCAACTCATGAATTCTCTCATATTATTTGGTCTTGCCTTCGCCCGACCTGACTATTGGCTTAACCGTTTTTAATGTACACCTATGCAGACATTGTTCGGAATGATGGCTATGCAGATACAGGTGGAGATGGGGAACGCCAGGGCTCGTAAGTTTTCTGATAGCCTGGAGGTGGCTAATAAAGAAAACGACCTTCTCGCCATGAAGAATACCGAGGTACTGGCTCGGCTTGAAAAAACTGAACAAGAGAGGGATGTCCTGAAGAAGGAGAATGACTCTCTTCAGGATGAGAAGGATGCCCTCCAGCTTGAAAAGAGCGTCTGGCAGACTGAGCGTGACTCAATCAGAGACGAAAAGGCAGAACTCCAGCGCCTTCTGGCTGATGAACAGTCTGCTCGGATGGCTTTTGAGAAAATAGCTCTGGACGAGCGTACCGCTCTGATCGATGCGATCAGCAGAGTGAGCGGTGGGATGCTGGCTCTTCACGCTCGGTTCTCAAGGGTCGGTGCTCTTAGATATGCTCAAGGATTCCGGGAAGGTTTCGCCGACCGAGTTCCGGATGAGGGACAGACCAGCTCCACTCCAGATGAGGTCGACAAGGATCTAGGGATCGAACCTCTGGGGGTCTATGTCGACCCAGAACCCACCGAAGCGGAGCGCATATTCGATGAGTGCCAGGACATTGCTTCCTCAAGGATCATCACAGCTCCTCCTACCGCTCTGCCTCTGACCGCTCCTCAATCGTCAACTGTGGTACCTTCCATAGCCACTGCTGACGCTGAGCCCCAGCCGAACGATTCAGTCATTCATCTTGATTCTCCGCCTCGTGAAGGTGAGACGGCTGATGGGGCCGAGGAGGCGGGTCGGCATAACCAGGATGCTGTTGGTACTGAGGCGTCTAGCTAGGGCTCCTTCGAACTCTTCGATTCCATATCTTTTTGTAACGATGGACATCTCACTTTTTGTAAACTCAATGTTTAATATCAATGAAATGACAGAACTCTCTTTCCCTTTGTGTTGTGCTCTGTTCAACCTATTTTCAATACATATATATCTTTTCTCTCTTTGCTTTTATATTAGCTTTGCCGTGTGTTTGTTTATGGCAAGTGCCTGGCGCTCGGCTAGAATGCCACTTGCCACTTGGCTTTAAATTTTTAGCAAGTGTCTGGCGTTCGGCTCATGGTGCCAGCTGCCACTTGTCTTGCTTAAGTGCCTGGCGCTCGGCTAGAATGCCACTTGCCACTTGGCTTTAAATTTTTAGCAAGTGTCTGGCGTTCGGCTCATGGTGCCAGCTGCCACTTGTCTTGCTTAAGTGTCTGGCGCTCGGCTAGAATGCCACTTGCCACTTGGCTTTAAATTTTTAGCAAGTGTCTGGCGTTCGGCTCATGGTGCCAGCTGCCACTTGTCTTGCTTAAGTGCCTGGCGCTCGGCTAGAATGCCACTTGCCACTTGGCTTAAATTTTTAGCAAGTGTCTGGCGTTCGGCTCATGGTGCCAGCTGCCACTTATCTTGCTTAAGTGCCTGGCGCTCGGCTAGAATGCCACTTGCCACTTGGCTTTAAATTTTTAGCAAGTGTCTGGCGTTCGGCTCATGGTGCCAGCTGCCACTTATCTTGCTTAAGTGCCTGGCGCTCGGCTAGAATGCCACTTGCCACTTGGCTTTAAATTTTTAGCAAGTGTCTGGCGTTCGGCTTATGATGCCAGCTGCCACTTATCTTGCTTAAGTGCCTGGCGCTCGGCTAGAATGCCACTTGCCACTTGGCTTTAAATTTTTAGCAAGTGTCTGGCGTTCGGCTTATGGTGCCAGCTGCCACTTATCTTGCTTAAGTGCCTGGCGCTCGGCTAGAATGCCACTTGCCACTTGGCTTTAAATTTTTAGCAAGTGTCTGGCGTTCGGCTTATGGTGCCAGCTGCCACTTATCTTGCTTAAGTGTCTGGCGCTCAGTTAGAATGCCACTTGCCACTTGGCTTTAAATTTTTAGCAAGTGTCTGGCGTTCGGCTTATGGTGCCAGCTGCCACTTATCTTGCTTAAGTGCCTGGCGCTCGGCTAGAATGCCACTTGCCACTTGGCTTTTCATTTTTTAGTAGGCCGTTGGAAAAGAAAGTTATTTATTTATTTTTTTTTGTAAATTTCAGTAACTTGCACATTCATACGTATTTGATTGACAACAAACAACATCCAATTAAAGCCGAAACTTAGCTTTTATTGGTAGTACCTCTTCAGAGACGTGGTGTTCCAGGGCTTGCTGACCAACCTTCCCGCCATGGTTTCCAACGTATATGCCCCCTTG